ATGAAATGAAAATTGAAATTCTATTATTCAACGAACTTTATACCAAAATTGACGACGCCCGTTTAAATGCTACTGAGGAGGTCATCTTGGAAGCTACCAAGGAGGAATACAAATCATTAAGTGACGGGTTGGAATTCCAATATGAAGCCCCTTGGAATATTTTGAAATATGTCCCATTTATTTAATATTTATTTCTATCTATTAGGTTTGTACTAGGTTATTTAAATGTATTTCGTATGTATTAGATGTACCTCCTCTGTTTAATGTTATTTATGAAAACTCGTTGGGTTTTTTTTTAACAATTCATTACAATACATTACAAATACATTACAAATAACAATTCCATGAAGCATTACAAATACATTACAAATATGAAATTTTCATAATAATAGAGTCGTCTACATGAAACATTACACTTAAAACATTACAAATACATTACAAACAACAATTTCATGAAGCATTACACTTAAAACATTACAAATATGAAAATTTCATAATAATAGAGTCGTCTACATGAAATATTGATTATTCTTAACAAGCTTCGAAACGTCCTCATATTCGAAGTCTCTACCTTCACGCTCCAAAATGTAAAAATCTTTAATAATTTCCAAAAACTCTTCCTCGTCTACATAACGAGCTTTCGTAATTTTCGCATAATTACATGCTCGATTGAACCACGTGACTTCTCCCTTTACATCCATCCATTTATTTACAATATCAGATTGTAGTCGGTGTTTTCCTTCTCCCATCTCCTGGTTGAAAAAAGCTATTATGCGGGTCCATTCATCACCAACCAGGCAATACGGGGGAGCCAGTGGCGTTACACCCTCGTTACACCCTCCTTAACACTAAGCCAACATCATGTTACAACCAACACCTTGTTTGTTGTCCATGGTCGTGGAGAATTGGAACCAGGTAGTGCATTCGAAGAAGTTGCTACATTCGATGACATTTCTGAATATGGGTGTTCGTTTCATATAGATGGTATGGGGGTTCGTTTCGTATAGATTACACGTCTATTTATAATAATCATATGGACTAGACAAGTGTAGTGGAATCTCTGTGTACTATAGTGACTTATCATGTCAAACAGTCATTTATGTGTTGTCATTTCGAAGTTTGACTACGATTTGCAAGTACTACAATGACTTATCATTTATGTGTAGTCATTTCAAAGTTTGACTATGAATTCTAACTCTGACTACGAAATTGTTGAATTTGGACTATGATTTACAAATTACTAGGATGTATAAATACGACATATAGCACCATTTCCTTATTAAAAATACTATATATAATCTCGACTTTATTATGAATTCGTCCCCAAAGTTCGAAATTTGCTCATGCAACGAAGTGGATTGTTATTATTGTGATCCAGTCGACCCCTTTTTTACACCCTCTTCGGAAGACCCATATACACCGGATGAAAATTTTCAAGAATTGAAAAAGGATGAAGAACAACAAAAACAGGATAAAGAGGCATCCCAACTTCTCATTCAACGTCGTAAAGTTATTGCATCGGAATGCAAACAAGCTCAAGAATGGATAGACCTCAATAAAAAGAAATCAAAGAGCATGAAGAATGGATAAAAAAGACTAAGAAGACAATCAAAATGACTGAAAAATGGCTTGCTGACAAGGACGCATAGATGATACATCTTAGGGTGCAAAAGGATCGTTTGGAAGATAAAATAAGAGTTAGGGATGACTATATATCAATCGAGAAAGAGAAGTACCCATTACAGTTCCTTGAGTTTAAGAATTAGTTAAAAAATTGTTGTAACATTATCATGACTTGGCTTTGCTATTTATTTTAGATTAACATGTTTGTTTACCGTTAATTTTCCAAGTATAAAAGCATAAAAAAAGCATGTTACAATATAAAACCTTCATTCGTTGTTACAATGTTCAAACTAAATTAAAAAATAAAAGCATAACAACATCTTAGAAAATTTAATAAAAACATTACAATACATAATAAATTAACATCTATTCAATTTAAGGTTGTTTTATATCAAAATCGGCGTGATAGGATTGTGAGCAACTCGTAGAAGCCCCAATATTAAATGTCGTTTCCGTAGTAGGAATTCTCGTGCGACGTGCTCCACTACCGGACACCCTTCCAGAACAACTGTCTCTCGTGTGTCCTGCTTGACCGCATGTAGAACACTCTTTTCTAATTGGACCCTCGCATTGGGATGGAACGCGGTCTGTGTTTCTTGGCCTGCCTGGCTGACATTTATCCATTATTGGTGGCTTAACAATCATCAAATCATCGAGGATCTCCCATTCGGATGGCTTTGGCAAAGGGTTTACTGATTCCTCATATGCTTTCCTCAATGTTTCCATATGGTAAGCATTTAATGCAAACATCGAATAGTCTTGGTAATTGTTGACTATTAGCGCTCTTATGACATGACCACAAGGTATGCCGTCAAGTTGCCAATGCCTACATGTACATGTCTTTTGTTGGAAATCAACAATCACGTTTTGTGCCCCGTTTTTTACCTCACATTTGTTACGTGAGATCATATGAACATCCCAATTACTAAAAGAATTTATATTTTCTTTTACAATATCATCGGCCTAAGGGGGGGGGGAGTGTTGTTGCTGCTTCCGCTTAAAAAAAATAGACAAAATTACTCAGTTAACATTAATAACATTTAATAAAAACATTAATATTAAAACTTAGTACCTACAAAGTTACGTCTTTGAAACCACCACTATTGCATTGTTTCACGAAAAAAAGTCGATCAACATCAGTATCGGCACCTTACGTGTGTGTCTAGATAATGCATTTATAGACTCCGTACTGTTGGACGACATAAGATTGTATCTATTCCCTCTAAAATGTGCCCTAGACCAAGTGTCAGGATTTATACTTTTTAAGTATTCCCATACCGGTTCTTTTGTCTTTTTCATAAGGTCCATGGCAGCATCAAAACCATCAACTGTATACGCTCTACAAGCCTCCCAAAAAATTCCTTTAACTATCTTACTCTTCCCGTATCTAGCTACTATGCTTAAATACAAATGGACACCACATATTCCGTGATGAGCGTGAGGAAAAATGTTGGCAACAGATGTCGCTATAGATGGAGACCTATCAGATATAATTGTAAGCTCCTCCATATTGTCTATGCAATCACGTAGTTTTTGAAAAAAAAACATGTCCAAGAATCTGTACACTCATTTTTGCATATAGCATATGCAACCGGTAATATTTGATTTTGTCCGTCCTTAGTAACTGCAAGTAACATGATACCTTTGAAGAACATGTGTGTACGTCAACAAATTTTTTCCCTTGGAAAAGTCCGCCATAATTTTTAATTCCATTTGCTCGTAATAACCAAGAACAATTTTTCTCAACAGACACAACGTCATACCTTGATTTGGTCGATCTACTTGTCCTCGTCTGAAAACCTTCTCGAATACATTTTTTTCCAATCGCCCATTTTAGAAGGTCTTTGTTCTTAAATATACTGAGACATTCAATCTTTTGAACAATCATATCTACCATCTGTGCTGGGATATCTTCATTAACATCAACTAGACATGCTGGTACAGGGGGCATACCGTAAAAAAGGTTATCGGGAAATTTAGCTTTAACTTCATCACCCAACTCATCTCCATCAGAATTGTTTTCTAAGTCGGTTATATCTAAAGCTACATCGACAACATCAACATAATCCCCGTAACCATGTACATTTTCATCTTTCTGAATCATAAATTTTTTCTTCTTACTTTTATCTAGTACACGCCTATTCATAACTTTAACTTCTTATTCGGGAACATCGACACAAGGACCACCCACGCCATTAAGAAATGTATCAACATCATCATCACCAACATACTTGTAATTCTCAGGATCCACATAATGAATAGGTGAATACCTCACATTAACATTTTCAGCAACACTATGAAATTGAGGTACACTAGGAGTCATGAAAGTACCTATTGGATTGTTGCTCCCTTTATCGTTGCATAAATTACCAACCGATTCACTTCCACTCTCACCACCATCCATAACCGCATCACCTTCATCAATCACCACAAACACGTTCACAACCCTTCCTCCACTCGATTTGATTACATTAATCAACATTCTAACATTCGTGTCTTCAATCATGGCTATATAATGATTCAATTCCGGATGATGGAAACGAAGACTGATTTTATATTTGTCTAACAGACCGGTTTTCCTTCTCACCAAAGATACAAACTCACTATAACTAATATACTCAGAAAATATCAAAGCGAATTCAGAAATACCTCCTTGTGGACATACATATTCAAGATTTGTTTCAAAAACTTTCCACCTCCCACCAGTTACAACGCAAACCAAATATTCATTCATTTTTTTAGAGAGGTTTTAAACAAATTTTCCAAAGAAATAACAACAAAACTGATAATTTTTTGAAAAAGTTTATATATAATAAGCTTGTTTCGTATTCAAACCTTATCAATTTCGTAGTCAAAATAAAAATAAAAAAAATTCACAAAATCGCAGGTGAAATTGAGAGGAAATCGCAGATGGACATAGTCCATCTACGATTTTAGCCTGGAAACAGCATATATATACAGCGAAAAAAAAATCATCTGCGAACGTATAAGTGGCTAAAGCATGTTTGTGCTTTAGCCACTTATACGTTCGCAGATGGCTTGATGAAATCGCAGATGGGCGATTTTGGTGGCTAAAAATGCAATTTTGGTTTTTTTGGCTATTTTCCACAAAGTAATTAGGATTTTTGGCTAAATTTGCAATTTTTCTCTGAAATTTATATGGTTAAAAAGTTGTTAATGCGATAGGGCTGTTTTAGAAAATGTTTAAAACTGAAGGGGCTAATTGTGATTTAGCCAAACTGATTCACCGGTCTTTCCCCCCATTGTAACAGGATCCTCTTTAGTTCACTGATCAGCAATTCCATAATCAGAAAACCCAACTCCAATTCCTCACATTTTCAGTGAATGATCATGCCAAATCGATTGATTCATAAAAAATGACAGAGTTTTTGGATTTGGAAACCCAAGACGCCGTGCGAATGCCATGGAACGTACTCCCCGGTACAAAACATGAGGCCGCACAATGCATCATCCCCATTTCTGCCATCTACACACCGCTGAAACCATTACCCAAAACCACCCCTCTCCTCCCTTACTCCCCTCTACGTTGCCGGAATTGCCGATCTATCCTCAACCCATTTTCAATCGTCGATTTCTCCACCAAAATATGGATCTGCTCCTTCTGCCTCCACCGCAACCACTTCCCCCACCACTACCAATCAATAACCGAGGACAATCTCCCAGCCGAACTCTTCCCTCAGTACACCACAATCGAATACGAACTCCATAATGAAAAACCCTCTCCCCCGATTACCTCTCAGGTGTTTTTATTTGTGGTGGATACTTGTATCATCGAGGAGGAAATTGGGTTCCTGAGATCGGGGCTTGCACGGGCGATTGGGCAGATTCCGGGTAATTCACTTGTGGGTTTGATTACTTTCGGAAGGTATGTTTGTGTTCATGAGTTGGGATTTTTTGGGAAAATCCCTAAGGTTTATGTGTTTAATGGAAGTAAGGAGATCAGTAAAGATCAGGTCTTAGAGCAGATGGGTTTCTTTCAGAAGAAAGCAAGACCAGCTACAGGCAGTGGTCCTGGAACTAGAGATGGACATTTGCAGGATAATGTTTCAAGGTTCTTATTACCAGCTTCAGAGTGCGAGTTTGCTGTCAATTCGGTATATATCTGTTCTTAATGTTCATTTGTCGCCAATTTTGATTACTACACATTTGAAATGAGCTTTGATTGATAAATTTGAAGTTGATATGTATGTTATCAGGTATTGGATGAGCTTCAGAAAGATTCATGGCCAGTTCCTGGAGATCAAAGGGCAGCAAGATGCACTGGAACTGCATTGACTGTGGCTGCTCATCTACTGGGAGCATGTGTTCCTGGTTGTGGTGCTAGAATTATGGCCTTTTTGGGTGGGCCATCATCCGAAGGGCCTGGATGTGTGAGTTTTCTAGTCTTTAAATGCAAGAAATAGCAACCTACTTCTACTTCCATTGATTTGTTTATTATAGCATCTTACCTTCATTTCTTTCTATTACTTGTCATAATACTCATTAACATTATTTTTGTTAATTTGTTTTACATGTTGGATTCTAAAATCTTATTTTTATTGTATTCCAATCTTCAGATAGTTTCAAAAAGTTTGTCTGAACCTATTCGATCTCACAAGGATCTAGATAAAGATTCTGCTCCTTTCTATCATAAAGCAGTGAAGTTATATGAAGGACTCTCAAAGCAACTCGTGCATCAAGGTCATGTACTTGATGTCTTTGCTTGTGCTCTTGATCAGGTAAAGATTCATTTTTCTACCAATATAGGCAATGTACTTTATTTATTATATATCACTATTATGTGTTAAAAAATGTATGTTGCTATTTTGTATAAGAAAATATAAGTATATTGTTTCTAGGTTGGGGTAGCTGAGCTTAAAATTGCAGTTGAAAGAACTGGAGGACTTGTTGTGTTAGCAGAAAGCTTTGGGCATTCGGTTTTTAAAGATTCTTTAGTTCGTGTTTTTCAGTCTACAGATAACGATCTTGGTCTATCCTCCAAGTAAGGCTTTTTCTTTCCATTTAATATTTTTTTTTTAAAACTAAATGTTGATACAATTCTTACTTTATGTGCTTTCAACATCTATGCAGTGGTATGTTTGAGATAACTTGCTCAAAGGATGTAAAAATTCAGGGTGTTCTTGGTCCATGCGCATCACTTGAAAAGGTGAATATAGTAATGTCATGAACTTCAACCAGAATTACAACTTTGCCCTTCAACTAGTATGCTGATGTGGCAGACGTGTTGCTGACTAGTTCTTGTGTTTGTGTAGAAAGGACCTTTATGTGCTGATACCACAGTAGGTCAAGGGGGTACTACTGCTTGGAAGATGTGTGGACTTGATAAATCGACTTCTTTATGTTTAATATTTGATATTACAAAGAAGGAGATCCCAGATGTTGCTGGTCAAGCAGTCAACAATCAATTTTATTTCCAATTTTTGACATAGTAAGATTTATTGCTTCATTTTTCTTGTTTGTTTGTTACACCGGAGAAAACATAACAGGTTATACTGGTTGAACAAGTCAAGGACTCTCCGTCAATGAAAAAGACATGAATGCCCTTCTTGTCTAGTCTTGTTAGGTGTAACAAACACAAACACAAGCCTAGTGGTTGGAATTTTGGACTCTGTTGACTTGGTGTAGATAATTTGGTCCAGTTATCAAAATAGCAATGGACAAATGAGGCTTAGAGCTACAACCCTATCTAGAAGATGGGTCACTGGGCAAGGAAGCATACAGGTAAGCTCGTTTTGTTCATTGTCATGATTAGATTTAGAACAAACATTGACTATTATACTGAAAATGGTGAAACTGGTTTTATATTTACAGGATTTGACTGCGGGATTTGACCAAGAAGCAGCTGTGGTAGTAATGGCGCGCCAAGTTTCTTTCAAGATGGAAACCGAGGTAATGACGATCATGAAATAATACGTGATTATCAATACGTGATTATCGATCGTTATGCAGGCAGAATTTGATCCTATAAGGTGGCTTGATAAATCACTGATACATCTCTGTTCTCACTTTGGAGACTATCAAAAAGACAACCCGTCTTCATTCGTTTTATCCCCACGCTTATCGATAATTCCTCAGTTTATTTTCAATTTGCGACGCTCTCAATTTGTACAGGTATATTTGAATCTTGAATCTATTTTCTTTTAGTGTGATTGGGTTCGTTCATCGTTTTGGAGATTGACATGACTTCGAATTGTGTTTTAGGTCTTCAACAACAGCCCAGATGAGACCGCGTACTTTAGGATGGTTATGAATCGAGAAGATGTTGCGAATTCAGTTGTGATGATTCAACCTTCGTTAATCACTTACGCTTTCAATTGCGGAGCAGAACCAGCTCTCTTAGACGTAGCATCCATCGCTCCTGACAGAATCCTTCTTTTAGATTCCTATTTTACTGTCGTTGTATTTCATGGATCTACGATTGCTCAATGGCGCAAAGCTGGGTATCAGAACGAGCCTGAACACGAGGTACCTGCTGTTTCTTTTTTCCTTTAAACTTTTTGAACAATTTCACCCTAGTTTTTCCTTCGATTTCCCCAAATTTTGACCCTATTTTGAGAGCTCAATCATGGAAAATGTTACTGGTTTGCAGGCATTTGCCCAGTTGTTAAGAGCTCCTATTAGTGATGCTGAGGCTATTGTAAATGAAAGATTTCCAGTACCTCGTTTCGTCATCTGTGATCAACATGGATCCCAGGTTAAATTCACTCTGTAAATACTTGGGCAAATTAACTTAATTTTTTTTTCAAAGGGCATTATTGGAATATGTGCAGGCTCGATTTTTGCTAGCAAAACTAAATCCTTCAGCTACATACCATTCAGATGCTCCTTTAGTACCTGGTGGGGATATTCTTTTCACTGATGATGTCAGCTTTGAAGTCTTTTTGGATCATCTTCAACGTTTGGCAGTTCAATAAAAAATTCTTCAGATTTTAGAACACCATACAACTAAATCTCCAGTTTTGTAAGATTATTCATTTAAGTTAACTATATTGTGATATACTTTTATCACAATTTTTTTATCCAATAGAAAAAAGGTCCTTATTTTATAACGATATATTTTTCATTTTCGCTTTATATAATATATTAAGGTTTTTCCCTTTTCTTTTTTTAGCAATTACAGTTTATAACGATTCTCAAATAAATAGTCAAAATATAATTCAGCATCACTTGTACACAGAAGGGTAAAATTGTTATTTTCTCATTTTCAAAGTGTTCATCTGGTCTAGAAAAAAGAAATGGTCCTTGTTTATATAGCACTTACTTCAGACAAACAAACATCATTTATCCATTCAACACTTTCATAAACAAAAAAAAAAAAAAACTTAATCTTTAATCCAGTAAGTTATAGAAAAAGTTACAGTAAGGGGGCTTTCCCATTAAGTCTTTTACTTTTTTACAATTTTGTTCTCATTTAATTATTCCATCCATTTCCCCAAGTATTTGTTTACAATCATTTATCTAGACAACATTAGCAGTGAAAAAAAAAACATACCCACAGATTGCTTCAATTTCACTATTTTAACTTCAAAATCAACAAGATTTTGGAAACAACAATCAAACACACATAATTTATTTGTAACATAGTACAAGATTTACATTACATGAGAACCTTCTTTTATTGATTTTTGAATAATAAAACAATACGAATATATATATATATATATATATATATATATATATATATATATATATATATATATATATATATATGTATTCTTGTATGGCAAATACAGGTGATTTAGTTGCAGCTATGCAAGGATTTTGCTCACCAAGTAACAGTAGATCAGGTGGCATTCTCAGTTGCCATTTTATTCTGTATATTAGTTATAGCACAACATGTAAGTTGTGTTCTACTTTTTTTTATTATTGCAGTTGGATCTTATATTCATGTTGTCTCTTCTTTTATTTCAGTCATGTCTATTGCCTTCTTAGCCAGATGATTTTTGTAGCAGCTCATGAATTTTGCTATGAATTCTGAAATAACACACAAACTTACATGTTAATGAAAACGTACAAGAGAAGAAAAGCACAAATGCAAGAAATAACCACGTACTTTCATTTGTTTTAGTTATTATTATTATTATTATTATATTTTTTTTATAATTAATCAAGTATGTGGGTAAATAACTAAGGAAGTCAATCAATGGTATACCTTCGATACTCATGAATTGATGGATAAGCTTTTTCCTTTCATCATTTGCATGTCTATGTTTATCAGCTCCCTAAATACGACAATAAAATGGTTATATACTTATTTATCCTATGTTTCCATTCAATTTCAATTAAAAAAAAAATGAGATTATAGTTCTTACGCTATATTCCTTATATGTCTTTTCGATCTGCTTATGCATCGACTCCTCAACATTCTTCTTCAGTTCAACTGCTAGAGTCTGCAAAACAGAGAGAGTATTATAATTTATAAATGTTGAAAAATGGTGTAATATTTATAGGTTTTATCATTTCTTACTTCAAAGATGAACTCAGGTGGCACACTATGATCTATGAGATTTTGAAGTTTTCGACGAATGTTATATAGCCTGTTAACATGATCGATTCAACATGTTAAACAGTACAATACAGAACAGAACAAGTACTCCCGTGTGATAAGCATAACCTTATGTCTGGATTAGAGTCTAATGTTCTTTTTTTTTTTTTTTTTTGTATATAAAAATTAAAAAGATGAGAAATATCAATATTTTGTGTAAAAAAGTGTTTAATATGTAGTTGCTTAGCTTACTGTTTGGGGCTCTGCTTTTCTACTATACTTATGGCAATATTTGCAATATCATCTTCCCACCCAGTCAAGATTACTTGATCTTCCTCCAAAAGTGAACTGCAGATATATTATCAGAAAACAAAAATAAAACACATAAGGATCCACACAAATACATATAAAATATGTATAAGATGAATGAATGAATGAAACAGAACTTATTTTGTGAGGTAGCTTCAAAGGAGCGAATAGCTTGTCGCAAGTTATTCTTGGAACTAACGGCTATTCTTTCAGCTAATTTATTTGGCAATTCTATTTCTTCATTTTTTGCTATGAACTCCAGGACTTGAACAATCTGGAAACAAAGAGGAATGAATGTTATATATAAAATCTATTTTAAAAACATATATATAAAGTATTGAATGAATGACCTCTTTATTAGAAGGTGGAAGGAGTTGGACCAATTTGCAAATGTTTTTAAGGGGTTGAAGCTTTGAAGCATCTTGACAACAAAAGAAGATTTTATGACATCCTCTATACCGCTCTATAACCCATCTTATATACAGCAATGCATCCGTTGATAGCTTGTCTGCTTCATGCAGAATGATGGCTGCAAATTCAATCATTCAAACTACTTACACATTATAATACCAACCTACTTTTGGGTAAAAGATAAAGTATGATGCATGTATTGATAGTGAGAATAAAGTATGTTGCTATTTTCTGTGATTTACCCAAATAATGTGTTATTTTATACCTCTACAGTTATCATTGCTGCATCGTAGCCCCGTTTTGCTGGTTAAGTTATTTGTCTCTTTGATGAGTTCAACGATGACATGCTTCTCAAATCCTTTTAGTTCAGACAAGTTTATTTCTACATGTTGAGATGATTCCTTCACATTCACCATAATACTGCTTACTTCTTCCCCCTGCAAATACACAAACCTTATCACACAAACAAAAGTAGATATACATGTATATGGTACATGTATATATGTATGTATATTATTTGTGTAATAACGCGCATGTTTCCTTGGTGATAATAATAAAGATTAAAGAAAAGGAAGCATTAGAGCCAATCAAGTTCGTTTGACCTCATTAGAATTTAAGTAACTGCTAAAAATAGATATATAATAAATTATTTAAAGGAATATTCTAAAATGTTTTAAGATTGTAACTAGACCATATATTCTTTCAGATTCAGAATTTCGTTTTCCCAGGTAATATCGAGCAACTTTCGAAGCCAACAAATTGGCTTTTTGAATTCTATAATAAAGTTAATAAATCCCTATATTTTCACTTGTTATAATCGTCATATATAATAATTTCCTTTTGTTTTTTATCTTGAAATAACTAGTAACTTTCCACTTGTTACTTTGTTCGACATACCTAATTTTTATCTATATATTTGAATAACATGGTAGCATTTGAACGCTCTACACTCACCTCTCTTCTTCTTCTAGTAGTCGATATTTAAGAAGATGAATATTTGCATGAATAGTTATGGCATATTTCAGAGTTGAGAGTATACCTTCAAGTTAAACGTTTTGCATTCATCTCGTGCCTGCAGAAACCAAGTTATTGGTAAATGGTAAGTACTTATATATAAACATTCTTACTATTAGTCCATTTTTAGCGACAGAATAAATCCATCGCTAATATTTCTAACTTTTGTGATCTCCTATAACTTTCGTTTATAATATTTCTAACTTTTGTGATCTTCTATAACTTTCCCATAAACGATTCTATTCATATACTGATTTGGCTATCTTGTTTGATTAATGTAGAAAATAAGCAGTTGAGATTAGCGACGGATTCAAGTGGTGTCAGGTAGGATACCTGCACTTTATCGGGTCCATATGCTTCACGAAGCAAAGCCCAAATCATTGTCCTTTTCCCAACACCCGCTTGTCCTTCAAATATAAAGTGGCGACACTCATCTTCATTTATCTACACAATCAAATCAAAATTATTGATACAAATTTGCCATTCTTCTTAATTCATATTCGTCTAACAACGTGATCTTAATTACCGTATGTTGCAACTCAATGGCTTTATCCTTATTGCAAATAAAATCCTTAAGAGCTACCGGCCGGTATCTATCCGCCCATAAATACTTCTTCTCCTCCTTCAACTCACTCGTATCTTTTGCATTCACAACCATCTTTTTGGCGGCCGGCGGTGGCAACGGTGGCGATGATGGTGGCACCACCAGAGCCGCTGGTGTTGGTGGCGATAACGATGGCTCTGATACTCTCTCCCTCAAGGACTCCTCATTTGAATTTTCGGTAGAGTAAACCTTTATCATTGTCGGATCTTTCTCATCTTTTGTCTTAAAAGAAAAACAAGATGCACTCCATTCCGACATCCTAACCGAAAAACTCGTTCTCGAACTCGTTTGACTCTCCCGATCCGGGCTGGTAGCCCGGTACAGGAGCCCTCTGTAATAAGGGCTTGAAGGGTCCAAGCTCTGAAGGTCATGTGTTGATCCACCAGAAGCCATATTCTCTGCTTCTGGATTTATACTTGTACCCGGAACTTTTTCCGTGTACAATAGCCCTTTATAATAAGGGCTAGACAAGTTCCAGTTCTGGATCTCATGTGTTACACCCGTAGCAGTTGCAATACTAGTCTCTGCTTCGGGACTTGTACTTGTACCAGAGACCTTTTCAGTATTTAGCAGCCCTTTGTAATAAGGGCTGCTGTAATACTTTTTGTCTTCTACAGCGGCCAAGACTTGGAGGCTTTCTCGTGTTAAAGTTGAAGCCTTTTTTTGTTTCATGAAATGAGGGACTTTTCCGGGCCAAGTGAACTTGGAGGAACGAGAAGAGGAGTTTTGTGACGCATTTGAGAGGTCGTCAGGTAAAAATTTAGGGGGTTCGGGGGAGACGTGGGGGCTTTTCATGGGAAAAGTTTGTTAGAGTATCAAAACTTTGAAAGAGAAGGAAGGGTGGGGAGATTTATAGAGTGGGAAGGGATGATGACGTCGATCGGGTTAATTAGGACGTGTATAACAAAGTGTTGGTTTGATAGGATTTATGTGGGTTATGAAAGCGATGTTGTGATTGAGAAGGAAACAGGCTGGGGATTAAATTTGATCGACCTTCTTCTTTTTGACATTGTGTCAAGGATAAATGTGTCCAAACGGGGTTAAGCCGGCATGGTTTTGAATTTTGATGCCAAAGATGGGCTTCTTTCCAACACCTTATATTAAGAATTGGAAACCAACTCTACTAAAAAAAACTATAACCTTTAATTTCAAGCTTGTATTCGAAAAAGTAATCTAGATTTTCGAGTTCGGCTCGAGAATCGATTAGCTATTAAAAAATAATACTACATTAAATTACAATAGAAATGTAATTAAGCTCCTGACTTCGACTCGATTCGGTTCTATAATATATAAATTTAAGTAAAATAAAGGGTAAAAGTATAAATATAGCAATTCTTTGTTAAGCTCACGAGTTTCGCAAACCGAGTATTCCAATACTCAAGCTTGGCTTGATAATGTACTCCAGTAGGTCGATTCGACTTGATCCGCATCGATTTCGATTATCTCATGCGTTGATTCGACTCAGTAACGTACCTACTTAATAACGCCCCTACGACACATTTATGTTAAAATGCCTACACTTCACATACAAACAATTATTTAACCCTATTAGACCATCCGCTATACAAAGGACGAACAACGGAACCACGAGGACCATCACGAACCATGAACCGGTGTCTGTGTACCGAAGACGACCACAAACGGAGAGAGAAGGAGAAGAAGAAGGCTTGGAGAGAGAGAAAGAGAGGCACTGGTTGTGGTCCTCCGTTCTCCAAACCACGACTACGAGCCACCGGGATGGTGTGCACCCGGACGGCCTTATATTGTTATTTGATCTAATATATTTTAAATCCTATAAAAACTTTGTAGTTTATAAAAAATAATTTTGATAAAAATTTTACTAACAATAATTCCCATATAATTAAATTGATGATTGTAGTTGTACTTTTGTTCAGGTTAAATACATAAAAAGCCTACGGCATAATGCATTTATAACCAAAAAGTTATTCCATATTATTTACCTTCTATTTAAGTTTTTTTTTTCTTCGACCATCCACACTATTGTTAGTTGGTGGATTATACTATTATAACATATAATGGGTGTGTTCGGCAAAACTAACTGTTAGTGGGTAGTTTGTAGCTTGTAGCGTTTTGTTAAACGTTATATGAAGTAACATTTGGACTTGGAGCATTTTCTTTAAACTAAATGCTAGAAGCTTGTAGTGTCAAACAAAGTTTTCTGTTTAAAACATAGCGTTTTGTCAAACGCTAGAAACTAGAAACTCTCAAACGCTCCGTGCCGAACACGCCCAATATGGTGTAGTAGCGAATATATATAATAGAAAACAATATTGTTTTAGTAGCGAATCTATAATAGAAAAAATTATTTTTTTTAACCGGACTTAATCGGATAAAGAGATAACTGAATTCAACCGAAAAATAATATGTTCAGCATGTATAAAAACCGGTAGTTAGAGGACCGAACACAAACATTACACTTCTTAAAAAATTTGAGTAAATGTAACTTAAACTTGGAGCAAAGTCTATTTAAACGAGGTCTCAACAAGTTTAATGGAATGGAAATGTGAAAAAGATAGCATCTAATGGAAAATTTCATCTTCAATTTTTTAAGAGTAAATTCAGTTTTAGTCCATGTGGTTTGGTCGAATTCGCACATTCAGTCCAACTTTTGAAAATTTGACAAGATGCATCAGTGTTGTTTAAAGAAATTGCACTGGACATCCTTAATTCACTTTAAAAGACCATTTTACCCTTATTTTTATATATTTATTTTCCTTTTATATATATATATATATATATATATATATATATATATATATATATATATATATAATTGTTTAATTGTTTTATATTTTGCCGCTTACATTTTAGTTTATTTATTTATATTTTTTATAATTTATATATTTTTTAAAAATTTTATTCGAACATATTTTTAATGTTTTTTATATTTTGTTCGTTTATATTTTTTTGACGATTTATTTGAATATATATATATTTTTAATGTTTTACTCAAATATATATTTTAATGTTTTTTTGATCTTTTGTTTTTTTATACATTTGTAAAGCTTTTTATAAATATTTTTTGTTTAAAAAACATAAAAAAGTTAATTAAATGAGAATATGATTAACACATATTAGATAAATTATTTATTTTAATAGGGTTATTGTATGGGCTAACCGAAATCCAAAACGAGTATCAATGGCTTCGAATTCAAACTTTTAGTTTTATAATTTTTGTTTTACATTTCGTTCCGAATGGAAAATGCTAATCAGAATTCAGATAACTCAAACACATTTAACGAACTTTTTATTACATTTTTTTACAAAAAGTATAAACAAATAACACGTCAAAAAATTAAAATGTATTCAAACAACACGAAAAAAAGTTTTTTGTCGTGTTGTTTAAATACATTTTATTTTTTTTTTATTTTTTGTTTGTTTATACTTTTTGTAAAAAATATATAAAAAAAAGTTTGTTAAATGTGAATATTATTAACTTAGATTAGGTATAAAATTATATTTTTAATAAGATTAATAGATAGGCTAACTGAAATATGAAAAAATGTTTCAGTTTATATAAAGGCTAAATGGAAAACCATATAACTCGAAAACGAACAAAATTTAAAAAAAAAAAAATGAACTCGAAAACATGGACATATGTGTTTGAGTTATATGAATTCTGATTACCAGTTTCCATTCCGAACGAAATGCAAAAAAAAATTATAAAACTAAAAATATTGAATTCGAAATCATTAACACTCGTTTTGAATTTCGGTTAGTCTATATAATAACCCTATTAAAATAAATAATTATATACCTAATATGTGTTAATCATATTCTCATTTAACTAACCTTTTTATATTTTTTATACAAAAAATATTTATAAAATGCTTTACAAATATATAAAAAACAAAATATCAAAAAGACATTAAAAGATATATTCGAGCAAAACATCAAAAAAAAACCTAGAAAAATTATTCAAATAAAACGTTAAAAAAATATAAACGAACAAATAATAAAAAACATTAAAAATATATTCGAATAAAATTTAAAAAAATATAAATTAAAAAATAAAATGTAAGCGACAAAATATAAAGAAAAATTAAACAATTATATATATATATATATATATATATATATATATATATATATATATATATATATATATATAAGAAAAAGAAATATATAAAAGTAAGGGTAAAATGGTCTTTCTAAGTGGATTAAGGATGTCCAGTGCAATTTCTTTAAACCACAGGGATGGATCTTGTCAAAATTTCAAATGTTGGACTAAATATGCGAATTTGACCAAACCACAGGAACCAAAACTGTAATTTACTCATTTTTTATGTAGGGTTCTTTCTACGACCAAATATATGATGTTTATAATTATCTCTCATTTTTCTTCATTTTTTTCCAACACTAACTTATAAAAAATCAAAAAACTCATAAACTTTTTTTTAATATAAAGTGTAAATAAATTTAAGAAATTAGGTGGGTCTTAAATACTCATCTTCCCTAACCTTGGACTCATGGGCTGAGCTTTATTAGGATGAAGGGCTGTCCCCTGACTTTTTTGTTACAAATAGCCCTATATACTTTTATTTTATATATATTAGACCAAAAAATATAAAATTTTGGCGGTGGCCCCCCTGCTCACCGATTTTTATAAATATTATATGTTCCCTCCCTCCCGCCCCCCCCCCCCCCCCCCCCTCCAAATCATATGTCGAAGTTCCGCCCTGCTTGGACTCGCTGTGAATTTAATGAGGAATCACTAATATTTATATTTATATCTATTATTATACGTGAATATATTAAACATTAAATAAATAATATATTTATAAAAAAAAATATTATATATTAATTAAAATAAATAATTATTTAATTAAAAAAAAATTAATTAATGATCTTGGTTTTTTTTTTGAACCGACAAAAGAGTATTTTATTCATAACATTCACCTACCCAGCAAGAAGCTAGTCACTACTAGAAAACAACCATTTAATGATGTGCAAACAATTACACGCAATGATTTATGATACGCAAAAGTGTGCGCCCTAAAAATAATGTCATCTTTTCTAAAATTTGAAGGATAGAGGACACACATTTGTGCGTGCCCTGAAATTAGTGTCAGAAAAAAAAAAATACGGAGAACGTCCATCATAAAATGTGCGTCATGTAAGTGTGTCGCTTTATATTTTTTTAATGAAACACGCGTTTTAAGCGGGAAATGAAATCTCCAAAAACTAAAACCCCCTCTGCTTCCAATTATCAAGAAAGAAGCCTAGGGTCTTCGTCTTCCTTTATCTCTCTCTAACCTAAAACCCAACCTGCGATTTCATAAAGATCTCCCATTGCTTCGCATATCTCACTTAAATCGTAATAACAATCAGTCGCTAATACACTGGAGTCGGATGAACCTGCTGTGTGCACAGAGGTTGAGGATTTCGGTCACTCGCCTCGCCTTTCTTGCAAAATCTTTGGTACACACAGGAAAACATAAACCCTAAAGGGCTTAAACACCCGCGCCATCTCATTTGAAGTCGGTAGCCCCTCCTTGGCACTTGCACCATCTACTCTGGGGTTTAGGGTTTATCATAACCAGTCGGGATGAAGTCGGTAATCGCTCGTGATGCTGAACTTCATAAAAGAGTTCTTCTCCGGTCTTAGCATCTTCCTGGGTAGCTGAACTTCTGTCATCGCTCGGGATCGATCTCAGCCTCTTATTCACCCCTCTACAGCCTTACTTGTAAGTCCACACCACACTTGTTCTTATCTTGTTTTGTATCTTCTTCCTTCTCTTATTAGAGCACTTTACGTTTTCTTTTTGCTTTGA